GGCGATGGAGGGGGGGGGGGGGGGGGGGGAAAACCGCCACTGAAAAAAGCGGTGTGGTGCATGTGGCAGCAGCGCGTGCCACCAGAAAGGGAACCTGGCTGGTCCCGGAAGGTCCCCAGCCTCCCCTCCTCCACCCAGGTCACTGTGTGCCAGAGTGCACATGCAGGGCCATGCCTGGGGACAAATAGCAGTGACACAAATATGTGCCACTGCTGTTTGTCCCACAAGAAATGTGTGCCCCTGCACATGTGTGTTCACGGGGACACACCCTCAGAGTCATTTGAGTAATTTCCACGAGTTGGTATGGATTTTTAGAAGTCAACTGGTCTTTTCCCATTGATTCACTGAAAAGACTTGTTCTTCACAGATGCTGCCTCATAAACTTTCCCTATTGATTTACTGAAAAGATTTTACTTTTCACAGATGCTGGGTCTTAGAAAATTGCACACAGATGTACCAACTGCCCGGATTTCCTCATTTTTCCTGCATGACTCAGTGCGTGCTCACTCTCTGCCACTGTCTGCATTCAGGGTAAAGTGACTATGCTGTGTTACAGAAGCATTGGGATGTGATGATATTTCAGTCCCTTCAGATGAAGACAAACTATTGCATAGCTATTTCTTTTTAAAAAGCAGTATTCCTAATAGAGTGCAAAAATGGGAGGTCGGACTACTGAGGTGTATCCCAGCTCTGTCAGTGCTTTGAGGTGCAGTCTGACAAGTCACTAAACTGCTGGGTCTCCGTTTATCTATCTGTAAATGGACTGATAGTAAAGATAGCGTGAGGCCGAATTTTGTTAACAGCAGTTAAAAGATCAGGCAACCTTTTCCCTCCTAAAATAACCCTGTAGGATTTTCTTTCACAACATCCATTGACGAAAGATGCAATGTGAGGGCTAAGTATAATTTCCTAATCATTGATGGGGGGGGGGGAAAGAAAATGGTTATTTATTAAACTGAATAGCAGGTGTAGAAATAAAAAAAAAAAAAAATCTGAGTAAGAGGATATATAATAGAAAGAATGAGTTTCATGACACAGCTATTGCCTTTGAGAAATGATGGTTAAAGTTAATAGATGTTCTGTGACAAGGGGGCTCTGTAAGTTCGCTGGATAAATGTGTCCTACAAGTTTGACATATTAAACATATCTACCGTAGATTAAAGCATTTAAGGAATGGTGCACTCTTCTACATAGATGAGACTTATCTGAGTTACTCATGAAACCCAAGCCCATTTTATGGGGTTTTTGGTACATGGGGGGGACTGTTGAGAAGCACAATGTCATAGTACAGATAGCAAGAACGTGCATTTCCAGAGTGAAACTTTAGTCCCATTGTGATGAATGAAATATCTCCCATCGACCTTGGTGGAATACAGATTTTACCTCTGTAGCTCTGCAGAAGGAAACGCATGGATTCTTTCATGTCAAACCACTGGGATCCAATTTACCGTGGGTGACACTATGCAAAAGTACAATCATAGCTTCTCCTCACGAACAGCCCAAATCATACCTATTCCTAGTAGGTTTACATGCTAGATAATGCCTCATGGAAAACTTTAAGGACAATTATGTTACTGCCATCTTTTTGCTGGAGCTGGAGCACTTCACACCTCTTCTTTTTTACTGCTAGTGATATTTGCATGGACACATGTTCTTTGTTTCATTTATCATCTGCTTTTGCCACTTATTCTGCTTTGGAAATGATGATTTCCATGGCAACCATGATTGTGAGTTTAGGTGTGGAATTAGCAGCAAAAGTTAAGTTTACTATTAAACAACAGAGGCCTTTTTTTTTTCTAGCCCTGGGTAACTAATGTTAAATACCTATCTAGAAATGGCCTATTATTTTGGCAGCACTGCACACCTGCAGGGCCTGTTACTACCATTTATAGCCTTAAATATGGGATTAGATAGCCTAGCTTCAGGCAAACAGATTTGAAAACAGCAGCCAAAGAGATTATTACCATGAAAATCTAGTTATCAATACAGAGGATGTGATAACTCAAGAATAAAGTTTGGCTTCAAGTTTTCCATCAGATAGCTGCATCTGATTAGAATACTGCGTTCACAGACTGCACAGTGTGCTGTGTGTAAACTGATATAGTGGAGTCATCCACCAACCTAATCAGTAATGTGCCCTCCCTGCTGTAGAAGAACAAAATCCAGCTCTAAAACTGCTTAAAGCCATTCAGCAGAGAGGCAAACCTGTGATTGGTTACTTTGCTCTGTTAATGTTCCAAACAGCTGTTCAGCAATTCTAAGTTTCTTTTGCCATCAAAGAGTTTGACAGCAGTGAACATTTGGCATCCGAGGGCTTGTGAGCAGTTTCACTCAATGTGTGATAGCACTGTCAGTCTATAAAACTCCCCTCTTTCCATAAATGTGTTCTTTGCTATGTTGCATGAGGGTTTTTTTTTTTTGTTTCCATGTAAATAAGGGCCTAAGATCACTGGATGAGAGGAAGGCAGGCGCTGTTCCAGGTTTTTTCACACACTGTTGCTAATGGACCTCAGTTCTGACCTGTAACACCCCATTATCCCAGTCCTGAGTCTCTCCTCATTCCAGGCAGAGACAACCAATTGTGTCGAATTGTATGGCGTGAACAAAGGACCATTAGGAACTAGAGTGAGATCACCAAACTAATTTGACCTAATCAGGACTTGAGCCCAGGTCTTCTGGAGTGAAAGAAAAATCACTAACCCTTTGTGGTGCCTAATTCAGTAATGAAGAGCATCTTTAAAATGGTGTTAGAAGCCATATTTTCCCCCAGTTGCCTGGGAAACACCAGTCTGGAACACGAAGTCCAACTTTTCAGCAACTATTTCCCTCTGAAACTTGGGATGGGAAGGGATGTTTTTCTCATCAGTCTTAGGAGTTAGGGATTTATATTGTGCCCATCACTGTGGCAGTTGATGGTAAATGGAGACACTGTGCTAATCTTATTATTTTGTTCTCCAGCTGGAGGAAAAGGAAATGTATTTTCCCTGGAAGATAAAGTAATCAGCTTAAGTGAACAGCAGCACTGACTGTGTGGTTTATCTTCTTCCACAAAGTGCTGGTCACCATCACCCTGGCAGGATGCTCTTTCAGTCACATCAGTTCTAAAAAAGCTGGGCTGTGACAGTGATCCACCAGCATAGGAGGGAAGCTTTCACCCTTGTGCCAGTGTAACTTCAGACACTACCCTCTGGCTTCAGTGGGGATAGATATCCCACAGGCGCATCAGGGGATAGATATCCCACAGGCGCACCAGTATAACTGTGAGCACAAGCAGACCTGTTTGTGTTTTTTCAAAGTACAAAGGGGAGACAGGTGGTACAGGAGCACAGCAGTGGATTGGATGCAACAGTCACACAGGAGATTTGGGTTCAGAATTGCCATTTGTACAGATGTGCTGGATTCATTATTCATGAGATCCATTTTGACTTGAGAGGGGAGGAGATGAGATTGTTTTGCACTGCTGAGTGCACAACTACTGCTGAGCCACAGGCTGACTGCAAAGTGGGGGCCACGCATGTAGTTCTTAAACTTAAGTGTAAAAGGGTCAGACTGGGAAGAAAGAAAAGGGCCCAGAAAGACGGTGTCTCTTCCCTCCTAAAATTGGTCCACTGATTAGAGCTATGTGGAGAGGGAAAGGGAAAACTGCTCCAACTTTGCAGAAAACCTAAAACAAACTGATCCAAGAAAATGCCATTCTTGTTTTGGTAACACACATACCTGTAGCTGCTGGATGGGTAAGCATAGGTATCTATGATGTAAACATGCCCAGACAGGTGCTCTATTCTTTATGGTACCCTATAACCAAGAACCAAAGAATAACTGGAGTTAAACTGCCCCAGGTTGATGAGTCAGGATTGTGCAGCCATAAATCTCTGATACTGTTCGTATCACCCTGGAAGCAAAACTTCTATGAGTCTTTCAATACAAGCCCTCCAACACCACTTCAATGCTTTGAAATGCACAATGCAAAATTCACCCCTGTGAAGAGGGGCCGGGCCATTGCAGTGCCTAAGTGTTGCATAGGCTTTGTTTGACTCTTCTACCCAGAAAATGCAAAAGAGCAGAACTCATTAGTTGATGTCTACCATAGGAAGAGCATTTTGATCTTTGTGTAATCAACAGTCCACACCATACAACCACCTTGATATAACTGAAACCTCACCGTTCATGCCCTGGCATACAAACTCTGCTGACTCAGCTGTTGAGATGAGCACAAGCTGCAAAGCTCACGT